GACTGTTGGGTTTTCCCTGCTGTCTCCTGCTGCAGAAGTTGAACTCAGTTGCTACATGTCACTGAAAGCACCCCAGAAATAAAAGGGTTTTATCCCTTCTATATGGCAGATGAAATTAGCCAGAGCCCTGAGCTACCCTGCCACTGAGCTTGCATGTGCATTCCACACAACCAGGACTTTGCACAAGTGGAGCACCAGCATTACCATGAGCACACTACTGCAGACAGCAGCAGCTCCCATGAAGGGAAGGATGGAATTTTTCTCTGTGGGAAGGGGGAAAAGCAGTGCAGGGAACTGGCAGTGTGACCAAAACCATGTGAAGATTCTGTGTTGGAGTACAGCTTTGAAGGCACACATCCTTGGCCAAGTAACCGAGGACTGACAACCCTTGTGCCTCTTGCTCTTTTCCTTCTTAATTCCTGGTTAGGAATGGAGCCTGTGGCAGCCTAAACATGGCTGTATTGTGGACATATTCCTCTAGCTGCAGACTGGAGTGGGACCTTCATAATTGTTAATGGTGATGGTTTTTGCAGGCTTTACCAGCTTTGGTCAGTCTTAGAGGTCTGTCATTACTCTGCTACCTTGAACTTGACTGTGAATGTTTATATCCACTTATCTGCTCACATAGAGCAATAAAGTACTGGAATTGTCTGCCCAGGGAGGTGGTGGAGTCACCATCCCATGGATGTATTTAAAAAAGACATGGTCTAGTTGAGGTGTTAGGGCTGGGTTGAACTTGATGATCTTGAAGGTGTCTTCCAACCTGGTGATTCTGTGAATTCTGTGAATAAAGCCATAAGGTTCCTACATCTCTGTAGATGCTGCAAATCCTTCCGTGGCTGCAGAGTTGATCCTGTCTCCTCTGTTGATAACATGTGTGTGCTTATGCCATCGACCCCAACCAAAGCTGCTCTGCAATTCCTGTTTATTTCACTTGCTTTATAAAGTAACGTGTCAATTTGAAAATCATTAGGTATTCCTACTAGGAGTCAAAGACCACATTCAGAGTGGATTACACGCATGTTTCTTAAAAGTGTTAATGTGCTAATCTGCTGGTTACTTGATCCAGGCAAAATGCCATGATATTCCACATGAGCAAAATACCATGGTTCTTGGAGATTTCATATAAATATTACCCACTGTGTTTCCACATTTGAAGTGTTATACTTGTCTATTAAAATCAACAAGCTGGAACTAGTATCTGGAAATAAGCAATATTACTATTTTATTTATGAACTTCAGATTCTTTTTAATAAAATACCTTACAAATAAGGAACAGAACATGAATCTTGCTGTTATTTCATGTATTCTGTGTAAATATTTCAGCTATGCCTCGCAGCAATAAAAGCACATTATATATACTCTGCATTACCATTGTGACCAATAATGTTTGACTTACTGTACTGTATTTAGTCCAAAACCAAAACAGAGTCAGGGCAACATCATGGCTGTTTTAACAGTATGCTGTAAGTAAGGCATGCAATGAATAAGGCCTCACACTAAATGAGGGCTTGTTCATTATGAAGTTGCTTGGATTATAGAGTACTCCTGACTCTGTTAAAGAGTAAAAATTCCTTATTTGTGCTCTGGAGCAGTGGCGGGATGAGGCCACACAAACAGTAGCCAGCCTGTGCTTTTGCAGTTCACAGCATGGTCCCCACTGTTTCTTACAAAGCAAATGCATGAATGGGAGAATACACTGACTTGGTACAGAGGGACCCCATCAGAGAGCCTGCAGGTATCAGCCACACATGCCCAGAACTCTCTCTCTGCTAGGGAACATGGGGTCACTTCTGTTTCTTTTCTTTTATGCTTAAGTTGAATGATCCATAGAAGGCCTTGACGTGCTCAGGAGCAAAGGCCATTGCTGTGTCAGGCTCTCACTGACTCCCTCTCCTTATCCAAGGGAGCATGAGCATGAGGATGCAGGAGGCTCCAGCACTGTGCAATATCTGGCTGAGAGAGACCTTCCCTCCTATGAATATGGTGCCAGTAGGGATCATTTTATGTCATCTGTTTGGTGTCATGCCATCTAGCTCAAGGTAAAAAGGACCTGTATATTTTCCAGCTCAACCTCAGACTGAGGTTTTTAGGTGGGATTTGGCTTTTTTTGAGCAAAGTTTCAATGGGGCTGAATGCAGGTGTATGCACACCAGTACTTCTGAGCCTTACAATCAGGGGCATGAAATTTATGTTGGTTAGAACTAGTGGGGGGAAAAGTGTGTAGTTATTGGTCTCATAATAAGCTGGTAAGCCAACACACAGTGTGAGCCATCTTTTCCTTCTTTTCATCTCTTTTGGAATCTTATTTTTAATTTTTATTAAAATGCCAGAGGAAAGCATATTTCTAGTTGATTTAAACTCCCTTCAAATATTTTTTCAGATCGATTCCAACTTGCTTTTCTCCCATCGGTTTAGGCCACTGAACTGGAAAAACTCAATTTTCTCAGTGCTACTCTTATACATATACCCATCATTTAAGGCTTAAGTAGAAGTTGTCTTATATGCATTCCTTGGGTATAGATTTCACTCTCTATGGCTGCCAGACACATTCTTCTTGTCAAGGGTATCACATGAGCCATAAGGAGACAATAGGCCATGTATCTTTGTATTCAGTGACAGAGGCTTGGGCCTGTCTGTCTGCCATCTCTTGATGTAACCCCTGCTACAGCTGAACTTTAACAAGTGTCTTTTATTCAGTGCTTATTCAGAGTCGACGTGGAATAAGAGTTAGGCTAGAAAACCACCTTTGGTTTAGAGACAGATGTGCAGCTAATGATGTCACAGCTGGTGAGACAACAGGCTTAGGGGATTGATAATGGCATACAGAGCCTGTTCTTTTGGATCATGTTTTGCTTAAGATGCCAGTATGGACAGTAGAGAATTATCATCTGAGATTCATTTGTGACATCTGGTAAAGGTGATGCAATCTTATCTCCTTTCTGAGCATGTCATGGATCTGCAGTGCTTGACCAACATTGCTGGTAGCCTCTACAGCCACAGTGAAAATACTCAGCCATTGGGCCCCTTGGCACAAGCTCCTCTGTCTGTCTGCTCTGTCTAGGCTCATGTTCTCTACAGCCACTTTAAGGTCTTGGCTTTGGGACCTAAGTAATAAGCCTGGTAGAAGACTTGCCTGCTAAATGGATGATCTATCAGAGGGCAACCCAGACCGTGAAAAGAGGGGGTGTGTTGGTCTGTCTGCAGGGATTATTGAAGGATCCTTTGGTGTCACACTCCATGCCAAGGGATCTCATGCAAATGTCTCAAATTAGGTGAGGTAAATTCAGATCTTTTTCTCTATGGCTTTAGTCAAGAGTTTTCCATGAATACTGAATTTATTAAAAGGCACTGAGACACAGGTACACCCAGGCTCCAAAATCAGAAACAGAAGAAGGAGATTTTATAACCCATTTTAATATCACAAGAAGCTCTTATTCGTGGAAGATCCTATGCTCCAGTAAGAGCAACCCATATTTTCTTGATATTCTCCCTTTGTTCAGTCCTCTGTGAACCCAACTGTTCTTTGGAAGCAAAATGTAAAAAGCTCTCCAAGCTCAGACTTAGATGGTGTTAGAACTTCAGCTCTCTTGAGGAAAAAAAATTAAATAGCCACACACAAACTAAAATGGTAACACAGCAAATCAGCCAAAGCTCGTCAGCATGTAACCAAGGCTGCATTGTTCTTCCCTTCCTCCCTGCCAATAATTTCTGAGTCTAAGGATATTCTGCTATAATTCATTTCCTGTGCTGAAGAAATTCTGTCCACGATGCCAGAATATCTAAATCTGGTAATTACTTCCACTGTCCCACTTGGCACAGCTCTGTTTAAGCTCCCAATTAAATCTTGTAGTGCAGAAGTGATGCTATATTGGTTTAGAACATCACTAAAGTCAAGGTTAGCAGAAGACAGTTTTGCAGACTCCTTTGGAATGATGATGTCAAGGCAGGAGCCTTGCTCAAAGCCTGTCCCTGACTTGTAGAAACATTTCTGTCAAGGTTGTTTTTACTTAATATTTATTTGTGCACATCTGAGACTTGGATTGGTTTTCCAGTGCCATTTTACTGAAGTGGTAGGGAGAAATAAATGTTTTAAGGTTTTCTAGCTTGTATGAAATGGTCTCTGAGTTGTCAGAAAACTGTTTCAATCCAGCTGAGATGAAACAATCAAGTTTTCACACAGATATTACTCCTTAACAATGCCCTTTCCCTACAGCTATTCAATATTTAGTTTCAATTTGTAGGCCTCTTAAATTGAGTTAGCAATACAGCATAATCCTGGAGCTATCCTGTCTCAAATCCTATAACAATACACTTTGTCATTTCAAAAAATGGTCTCTCTTTCTTTTTTTTTGTTTGTCCCAAAGGCAAAGTCATGTCATGCTCCAGGAATGTGTCTATTGCAGCCAAAAGAGGAAATCCAACTAATCAAAATGTTATCAGCAATTAACAAAATAGTTTAATGATTTTTTCAGCATTTCAGAAAAAAGAAAATAAAACACCAGGTCCAACTAAGTTTATTTAGGTGCACTAGTCTCTGGTATTCTGCCAATGTTCTTTATAATGGAGATTTAGAAGTTAATAGTATTGGAGATTAGAAATTGGTGTCAGTTACAAAACTGTGCAAAATGATTTCTTTGCATTAAGACATAACAGCTGAAATGAATAAAATACATTTCATTCTTACTTTTTTCATTTAGCTGTAATTGCAGTTTTGGCATGCTGGCCAAGTCTCTTTGTCCTGGCGGGATGGCCCCATTCCTCATTCAAAGAATATCAGGAAAAAAAAACTTTAAAAAGGAAAGGATATCATAATTTGTCCTGAAAAAAAGCCCAACTCAACAAACTCACCAGTCCCTTTACTTTCTTTACATGTAGCACAGAAAACCCTGATTAAAAAGTAAACAAACAGAAGACGATTTTCGGCCTGCTGAGCACGAGAGCTGAACCTGCTCCTGCCAGCCTCGCAGCTGGTGGAGGCTGTTGTCTGCAGTCTGGCCCGGAGTGGCCATGTTACACCCTCAGGGCTGGGCCTCTTGCCTGCCAAAACCATCACCACTGTCCTGAGATGCGTTGGAGGTACCAGATCTGGTCTCTGAGCTTCCCTGCATAAACCTGGAGTGGAATGTCTCCTGCCTGCCAGCAATGCCAGCCGAACGTGCCTGCTCCTCAAGCTGGCTCTGGAGGATCCGATGCCAGCCACGGCCCACGTGTGAGGGAAAGGTTCGCAGCCACTCCTATAGAGGGGGGCATTAAGATCAACGTTGGTATGTTTTCATGCTCTTCCATAGAAATTCACAGCTATAGATAAAAATAATGCATAGCAACCTTTAAAGTTGTCCAAAAGCTCTTAATTAAAGTTGCTGGGGGACGTGAAGGGAGCGAAATCACAGAAAACCCATTGATTAGGTTCAATAGGGCCTTGTTTTACAAAATGGAATTTGGGGCCCCAGAGTAACCCTTTAAACAGATCTTTGTCAAATACCTCAGTGATTCAGCGTGTGCCATTCCACACTGAGGATTTATTACAAACTTAATAATATAAGTAATTTTGATGGACTGAGCGTGTCCACGTGTGTGTGCGTGCATACTTGTAAGGGATTATAGTTTTCCAACTACTAATTTCCTTGCAAATTAAAATGTTAATATTTGACACACACTTGAAAGCCTCACAACAACAAACAAAAGTTAAGCCAAGTTGTTAGCACACAGAGAAAGTACAGAAAACTTGCCAACACCACCGATTTCAGTTTTATATAACCAATAGCTTATAAACACTTAATTGGATCAGTGCAAAAACGTGTTTCTAGGCCGAAACCACCTGCCATGTCCGGTTTCAAATAAATGCCACCTGCTGAGGATCAGCCTTTGACAAACATGTGGGCAAATCAGTTCTTAGTCCGGCAAAGTGCCACCCAACAGCAGAGTGAGTCTCATCTCACCGAGGAACGCGGGGTTTGGATTGCAGATGAAAAGAACCCTGTGCTGTAGCAGATGCAGCTGTGGTCTAGATAGGAGTGTTTTTAGTGGCTGTTTAACAAGGGTTGTCCTTTATCAGGAAAGCACTTGTTAGCCATCCTTATTTACTAGTAATACCAGGTAGGGCAAGATATTTTTTTTATTTAGGAAAAATAGTAACAGTAACATGGCTTTAGTGATTTCTTAAAGGGCAAGTAAAGCATGTTTTATTTTTTATGAATGGTTTTATGAACAAAAATTGATTTAAATTCCAATCTTCAGGTAAGACCCTGTGGCACAAAACCCAATAGCTGTGGGAAGGCCCCCTGTGTACAAGAGAAGCTTTACACAGACATTGTTCATGGACTGCTAGAAAGGGGAACATCCTGCATGCCCCAGTTGGCTTTCTGGCCACAGGCAGAACCATCCTGGCAAGATGTGGAAGTCCTTTTAGTGAGGACCCTTTGGAGAATGTCCTTGCAGGACTTGCTTGGGAGCAAGTCCATAATCTGTACAAGGAAGGCCCTGTAGGAGGAGAACCATCATCATCCCCTGCCATTTCCTAAATAAGACCCATGACAGTTACTAGAAAGTCATGTTACAGGCCCCTTGGTATCTTTGAGGTGTTTAGAATGCTGTGATTACTGACTAGATCCTGCTTTTTACCAACTAGGCCCTGCTTTTTACTGACTAGACCCTTCTTTATCTTTGCCTTATTCAGTAGAATAACATACACTGCATTTTTACCATGCAGTACATGGCTTTTCTGGGAAGTTTAGGAGCAAATGTTGGAGCTGAGTATGATTATCAGGAATTATGAAGCTACAGTGAGAACAAACATGAATAAAGCAGTATTTGATTTACAAACCTGTTTAGACAGAAGAGACAGTCCTCAGCTGCACTGCAGGACAATGCAGCCCTTGGCTGTGCTGAGCCACGCGGGACCCCGTGCAGAAAGCTTTTTTGTTTCTTGCCAAAGAAAACCTTTGCCTGCTCTGAGACAGGCTGCAACCTGGGCTCCTCAGAGATCAATTCACTGCTAGCACTGGGAAGTGAGAAGCAGCAGAAGGTGGGAACGTGGTAAAAGTTCTTGTGAAGGGTTTGCTGCTCATGGCCTGAAGAAATGCTGAAGCTTCTATTGAAGCACCAGGGCTAAAAGAAAGTAGCTGGGACCCCTGGCCAATCTCATCTGTGCTTTGAGAGTGGCATCAGAGGCAGCAGTCATAAGCCTGACTGGCATACATCAAATCCTAGGCTACAGGTCCACAGGAGAGCACTTTGCTCACATCAGTATTGCAGCAAAATTGAAACTTACCCTTCCAACACGATGGCCCCAAATTCCCTTAGTGATTGTTTGCCGTGTCCTTAGTCCCCTTTAGTGCCAGAACTGATGGAGGCACAGCACAGGGTGGGGAGAGTTTTCCATGCAGGTCAGGAGAAGGAATAGCATCTAAGCAGGCCAGGGAGAAAGGTGGGGATGAGGCAGGTGGGGCAAAGAATGGCATAGAAGCTCATCCCCTACTCAAAAAAAATAACCTTAGAGGTGCTTCCCTGACATCTGCTTAGGTATTGGATTAAAGTTCTCTGTGAGACAGTCTCTGTCGTTAACTCTTCTGCTACACTAGTACAAGCTTAATGTAATTACATGAGCATATTATCAAAACACTGATTTCACTGTCTGAAAAAAGAGGTGTATTTCTTCTTGGTATGAAATATCATGAAATTTAAGCTATTTAAATTTTGTTCTGATTTGTAATGGAAACAAGCTTGACTATGTCAAAATATTTCCAGAAATGGTAACTCCATTTTTTTTTTACCAGCTTTATTGCCAATGCTTGCTATTTTCCTGGAAATACCCAAAATATTTGCTGTATTTTTAAAAAAATTCCTGCATATATTTTTTCCAAAACAAAATTTTTTATCTTAAATGGGTGCAGAGAAGAAGTAAAAAATAGATCCCAGCCTCTGAGTCCAAATCAAGAAAATTAGGAAACCTTACTTTTATTTGCATTTTAATAGTAATTTCTGAGACAGCCTCTTGGTTTTGCAAGGCTTGTTGCCTGGTTTTGTGTGATTGTTTTCTTGTGTCCCAGACAGCAGCAGTAAGATGGAAATCACAGAGTTTGCTCAACAAAACCACCTTTCCCACAGGAGCAAAGGTGTTCTTAGTGAGGTTGTGGGAGTACAAGGAGGCTGACAGTTACATGGATATTTTACATTAAGAAAGCTCAAAATCTTGAACGCTATCTTCTCAGAAATTCCTGCATCATGTTCTAGCCACCAAAACACCATTTTGCACCTTTTCTGGACTTTGCTCCAGTGATGTCCTCCTCCTGACAGTTTTTGGTCAATCTCCAAGCTGATGCTCAGCCACCAAAGGTCTCATGACATATGCTGCATTTCCATAGCCTCATGGCAAGTGACACATGTAAGCCAGACCCAAAATGCAAGGGAAGAAAAGGGCTCAGGGTGCTTTGCCCACTATCAAGGGTGAGCAGGACCCTCAGAGGGTGTTTGGAGCCCCACTGGGTGTGTGCAATGCCAGAAGGAAGGGGTGAGACAAGAGGAGGGCTTAGCTGTAGTCTCCCATCTGGAAGGGAGTGGGAATGGAGGTGGAAGAGGGGCTGGGACAGGCAGGCAGTGTACAGACACCCAGGCTACAGCAGAGACCTTGACTTCAATGGAGAAGTCAAGGCTTGGGAGAAGGAGGTAGGACAGGAATCCCCTTTCTTGTGTTAATCTTGCTCCGCTGCTGCAGGGAGACCTCAGGATTTTCACATGTAAGCTAAACTCTCTGGTCTCCAACTGGCCCCTCAGCTGAGGGGCTGAGTTGAAGTGAGAAGAGATGCTGAGGGGTGAGTGGATCTTACAGACCTTCTCGTCCTTGCTCTCTGTCTCTGGGACATTGTGTATTGTTCCCAGCCCGATTTTACTTTTACAATTTCCACACCTTGAGCATTTCCCCCAAGCAAAGGAGCAGGGAGGTACCAAGGTGGCATCCAAGAAATTGTTCCATGGACTCTTTTTTAATACCACTTGTTTGCTATATGAATTAAGGACTGAGTTCATAAGGCTTTCCAGACATTATGGCCAGTCTTATGGTAAGAGACCTGGCTTTCACTCAAGAAAGGGGAATAACACTACTTGAAGAACCCTTTACAGTTGGAGCTTCACACAGCATAACTTGGGATTAGATGTTTCAGGCGGTGCAAATGCATGGACTTGTAATGTGTCTGCTTGTCCCAACAGCTAATCCCAACAGGTGCCATGCAGACATACTGCACATTAAAGATTTGTTGTGGGGATGAGGGTAAAAATAGCAAAAGGCTGGGAGAAAAAGTACATTTCAAAAGCAATTTTCCTCCCCACAGAAATTCTGTACTTGCAAACAAATTTCACTCCTACACGAGACCCATATTCACTAATTTTATTTATGCTCACATGCAGTTTGGAAGAGAGTCTCAAATATGCCGATCCAGCATTGTTGGATTTAAAGAAATTAATAAAAACAACTCCAAGCAGCTGGTTGAAACAATTATGCTTTTCACAGAAAGGCTTGCAGACTGCACAGAAAGTTATGAAAATAATCCTTTCAATTAGTGTGTGGTCAGTGCACCTGCAAAGGAGACTTGTCCAAGTAAAAGTATCAACTAGTGTCAATGAGAACAATTCATGAATTCATCATGAGGGCCTTTTTCTATTACCACATTTACACAGATGTGAATCCCTGGGGTGCAGACACCAGAAGGGTAACCCTACTGTAATCCAAAGAGCATGAGAAACATGAGCTCAGATCAGGAAAGCTATTAATTTTTGTGTATATTTGACTTCAGCATCTTTTCCCCTCTTGCACACACTGCATTTAATAATCATATCTATCTACCTTCCCCGCACTTTTCAGCTCTCTAGTAAGAAATAACATATTATTCCTGGTGAAAAATGACATCAGCTAGAGGACTCTAGAAGACCAAAGGGATTTGCAGCTCTGTAATTTTATCACCTGTACCATAGCTGTAAATGAGCTCATCAAGCTGGTAGAATAATACTCATATTGTAGTGCAGTTTTAACCCACTGGTGCAGGGTGTGTGCAGCATTATTATATATTGCCCAATGGGTCATCACAGCAGAGTGACATCAGAGGGGAACAACTGAATAATTTGGAGGAAATTATTGAAAAATTTGAAAGTCCTGAAGCAAAGACAGTTGAGATGAAGGAGGAAGTTGCATAAAGTGTATAACATGTCTTCTTTGTTATCATGATCTTCTGCATTTTTCTTTTGCAATTAGGTAAGAACCTCATATTTCTGTAAAAACCGATGCCTGCATCAAACGATAACAACTCTATACATTTGATCTATAAAATTAAAAAAACCAACAGGTTTGTAGCTCAATAAACATACAGTAAATTTCTGAAACAACATAAAACATAAAAGAGGAGTGGAAGACGGTGATGTTTATCAGCAGTTTGTGGGCAAGGGAGACATTATTTTAATTGAAGTATGTATTTATTGAATTCTTCTGTATCTGAGTATAATGTTCTAGTGTTTGCAGCATACAAAGTAAAGGCCAGCAGGGTATATGTCAAAAAGCCAGGCCACAAAGAAATTGCACTCATATCAAAGACCTCTGCACACTTTGAACATTTAGATAAACATTAGTTTATCCAAATTGCTTTAACAGTTTTTCCCAGCAAAAGGAAAACAAAAAAGTGGCAATATTTTGTAAAAACTGCTGTTCTTTAGATTTGGCTGCTATTAGCACATTTTCCTTTTAATTCTTAATTAATAACTAAGAAAAATGCCTATTGGTATATGATATGGTACATGCTTCCTCATGTCTTCTTTTTGTATTCCCTGCAAACAAAAGGCAAATAGAGGTATTTGTAATGTATTCTCTGTTGCATGATGAGACCACTGAGAAAGCCCCATGCAGCTGTAACGCCCATGATTGAGCTCTGCCCTGGGATTTGCTGCACTATAAACACAGGAGTCAAGGAAGCTCCAGAGCTGCTGGATGTCAGTGACACCCCTGATATTGGAAAACTGACTCCATCTCCTCCTCCAGGGAGGGGGTGGGATGCAGCAGGACCGCACTGTACATATCCTAGTGAGCAGCATGCATGCAAGCCAAGGTGGAGATGGAGGGAATATGTAAACCACAAGAAATGTTTGGAACAGTTAAATGTATGTAGAGAGCACTGGTAACAAGCTGGTGAGCAAACTTCTCCTTCACTACTCCAGGAAAGTTAGTTTCTTCTTCAGCATGGAGGACACTATACCTGCTGGTACCTTCTAGTCAAACCAGGAAAATGAGATATTAAAGTTTTCTCTTGCTCTATCTAAGAGAGCGTTTTTCTTTCACTCAGTAGAATTCAGGAGTGTTAATGAGAGCAGGGTTTGGTCCAGAGGTTTTATTTCCCTACTTGTCTTTTGCTGGAAAAGAGGCCCAGTTTCGCAGTGCTTTGTCCCTGGAGAAGTCATTTGCACCTGTGCAGCGTGTAGGCAGCACTGCCAAATAAGTGTTCAACGTGCCAAACAGGCCTCACTGATTTCTTATTTAGCAATCACATCTTAGCACATTTTTCCTTCCTTCCCTCCCTCTGATGTGCCTATTCAGCTCATTTGAAGGGTGTGCTTTGCAGCATTTGAAAGCAGTTTTGCACTGCTGCAGATGCGCGCAGTTCTGTGAGGGCCAAGATCAGAACTTGTCAGCGGAGCCAGCGCACAGCATCCACTTCCAATGCACGCTGGCAAGTAATTTCTCATGGATTTCAACAAAAGATGGGACTTAGCCCATCACCCTCCCTCTCCAGGATTGCCATTAAGGCTCAGGCCATGGGGGAAATGGTGAGTGCTTCCAGACTGTTAATCACTGCGTGTTTACAGTCTTGGAAACCAGAGCTAAAGATCCTTGGAAATCCAAACCTGAACACTTCTAGGCCTGATCCAGTATTGTTTTGTCCCCAGAGCAGAAACCTGCCGTGGTGCTTTGGCAGGACTTTACAGCCCTGCTGCGCAGGTGCAAATGGCTGCTCTGCCGGGGAGCGTCCTGAGGATGCAAACCCTCTGTTCCCCAGCCAAGGTGAGCACCACTGCAGCCCCTGGAGATGCGAGCTGGAAGAGCTGCTCCACACGTGACCTCCTTTCATCACCCTTTCGTGGCCATCTCAGGAAGCTCACTGCTGCGCTGAGGTAGCTTTACACTTTTCCTTTACAGCTGGTTGGAAGGGTTTGGGGTTTTTTACCTTGCTTTTATTCTTTTTTTTTTTGTTTGTTTTTTTGGTTTTTTTGTTTTGTATTGCTTTGGTCGCTAGTTTTTTTGGTTTTGTTGTTTTTTTTTTTTAATGAAGCAAAGAACCATTGAAATCTACAGTTTTCCAGAGGAGATGTGACAAAACAGATTTTAAAGTGTATCACTGCACTTCTCCAAGTGTTTTATTTCAGCATAGAAAGAAACACCAGTTGGTCCTATTGTTTGACATCTAGACTCTTTTCAAAATAAAAATCTGATAGAAGTGATTTTTTGTAAGGCTGTATTTTGAAGATGCTGACATCTGTAAATGACTCATGGCAACTGAGACAGTCTGGTTGAGGGCAAAGCTGGCACTTCCTACCCACGGGCCTTTCTGACTGTCCACAAAACTGCATTGCTACAGAGAAAATATCGCTTACTTCTGAAAAAGTAAGTAAGTTTTTCTGTCCTGGAAAAAAAAGACACAAGAATAGCTTTATCCATTTTCTTAGTTTAGTTCTACAGAGTTAGTCCATTTGTTCATATAACAGTTATTCATATAACTGGATTTCATAAGTATTCAATACAGCAGCTTGCCAGAGATAAAGATTCATATCATTCTGATGCCTCAGTGGGATACCATCTCTCCTCAAAGACTGCTGTCAGAAGTTTTATTTTTGAAAATAATCAGATTCTGGAAAAATAAAATATGCTTTACTGTACATGCTGTTTATGTGATTCAGAAAGTCCTGCAGAGGCATAAATTCAAAAATTTTAGTGGCTGAATGGAAAGATCTACTTGTTTCAGGTAAAACTGAACTGAATTCAGCTTCTCCTCAAACCAGAAAATGTCAAAATACAAAATTTGACCTTTGCCCAATGATTTCCCCTGTTTTCTTTCCAGCACCTAAAAATCAAAGCTGGATTTGATCTGACCTCACATGTAGTTTCTAGACATCTGAAATGGTACTATTTGATGACTACTGTGAATCCTGCCCAGCTCCAGAGGAACTGCAGCTGCTCTATGGCAAGGCACAGACGATGGGCAGAGGAGGATGTGTCCCTGCCTCACCACCAGGCACAAGACAGCAGCCTGGCTGTCGGCATCACCACCTGCAGCTGCCACACAGCTGTGTCTCACCCCCAGGTGGGCTGGGGTGATGGTGCACCTCCTCCTCCTCCCACCCAGCATCCCTCTCCACAGGGTGGGCAAGGGGAGCTCCGTTGACTTTCTGCCATAACAGAGGCAGGAGGCTGGAGCAAGTCCCTGCTTTGGGAAGGGGCCACAGGTCAGGTCCTACAGCTGCTGTAAATAGTTGCTGCACTATTTAATTCAATGCAGCCTTTATTTACATCAGCTGATCTGGCCCCACTTCTCCTGTTTTCCTGTGCTTGTTTCCTTTAAGATATATATTTTATAGCCTTGTAAAACACCACTGTATATTCCTGTATAAACTAGTAAAGATACAAGCACAATGTGATTCTGCGGTTGTTATTACAGCAGTGCCTGAAAAGGGACCCCAGTGTGCCAGGCTCTGTGTGGCTCTCTGAGTGACAGGGAGTTCATGTCCAAAACAGGCAGGGCAAGCAGCAGGGGGAGGGAGGAGGGAATGGAACAAGAGAGGTTGGCCCAGCCAGGAGAGGAGAAGCTAGGCAGCAGGAGCCGGGGGCCAAAAGCAGTGAAGCTGAGATAAAGAGCTGCAAGCAGAAGGGGGAGATGGGCTTTGGAGCAAACAGCAATGAAAGTCTGAATATGGCCAGCAAAAACTGTGCAAAATACTCTGGCATCTGATCCAGCTGCTCCTGCAGCTGTTCTGCCTGCTCTTGCCTATGCCAGGCTTCTTCCTGCCTTTCTCTTCCCAAGGCAGGGGGTGGTGGGAATGGGGGATAACGTGGTGAGATAACGTGGCAAGAGCACACACAGAGGTACGAAGGACATCTCCCTGAAAATCTCTGGGTCCAGCCACTGAAGGGAGGAAGATACCCCTTTAGAGCCTCAAATTCCCTCCTTCTCCTTCTCTGCCCTCTTAACCAACTTTCAATGTTCCCTGGGGCTTCCCAGTTCCCTAAGCAAAGTACTAGAAATAAATTCTGGCAGAGGTGCTGGTACTGGTACTGGTACTGGTACTGGGCAATTTTGGCTTGTCTGCCCTCCTAAGGGAAACCTTCCTTCTAAGAAGGAATCCTCTTCTAGAATAAAAAGAGAATATGCTGCAAAACCATCAATCTGCCTTGGTGTCCCCAAGTATTCAAAAGAAAGGATTTACTTTAGCTGGGCAAGATGGGCAGGGTATGCAAAAGAGAAGAGGTGATTTTTTTTTACCATGTTATGACTGGGGTGCAGTCACGGACATCACATCATCCTCCCAGACTGAGGAATGCCCAAAGAGAAGAATGCCTGGTGAGTTCTTAATAAAGAAATTTCAGAAATAAACACAGACTGAACACAGAGAAAATATTTTGAAATAAAGATGGCTTATGAATAAGGGAAGGATAAAGGCAGTGCCTGGAGAGAAAAAATCCAAGATGAAAGTGAATAATTCAAATAAAAGGAAAACAAAAGAAAATGTGTTCTCCTATAGAGAAGACTTCTAATTGTTGGATGATAATCAGTGTTTACTCCAAGCACTGTGCCTAGAGTTGCAGGTTTGAATCTGAGAAAGGTCAGAAACAATACAGAAAGGAGAAATCACAGAACAGACAGGAGGAACTGTGGTATAAAGAGAAAAGTTGTTTGTTTCTGTTGGCAAAACACATTAAAGAACCTCAGGGTGGGAGATTCTACATGAACAAATACAGAATGTTGTGCTTCTGCTCCACTTGCTCTTGGGGCAGTCCAAAAGCCCATCAATTGTGGCCACATAGCAGGCGTAGCACTGGGCTTGAGTTGATGATACACACACACTGAGCAGGCTTTGGGCTATGCTGATGTGCTCTTACAGGCTTTGGGCTATGCTGATGTGACTGTGTGTCCTGCAGAGGAGAGCTGAGGTGACGCCTGAACACAGTGCAAACACATCTGCCTAGGCCTGGCTCTGTCAGTGTGCTGAGACTGGATGTAAAAACATACTCACTGGTGCATCTGCTGTTGACTTTAAAGAAATGTTTGTTTCTTCTTTGTTCAAACATATTTCACTACTGGCTTGCATATTGAAGGGCAAGGAGAAATTTTATTTGTTCTATCAGAAAAATAGTGGTTTGTTTTGCCTTTTTTTCCAAGAAGAAGCAGCTCTGAGCAAGCTTTGATGATGAGGATTCTCAGGTATACAAGGGAATTTCTGATCAAAACACATCAACTTAGTGGATTTCTGGGGCTGGTGGAATGCAGAAGGCTCATTCCAACCCAGCGACTGCCTTTTCTGGACTCCTTCAGTTTGGAGCTGGTTTGCTGTGCACAAACATGCATTCCTTGGCATAGAAACCTTCATCCTGTCTTCCGGCACCCTTCAGGAGCACAGCCTGCATGCTCTCTGCTCGCTGCCAGATTTTCCCTTACAGCCTCTCCTCCTGGCAACAGAGGAAAAGCAGAGTCAGGGGACAGAGAAAAAGCAGAGCAAAGGCGTGTGAATGGTGGAGCCATCACTCCTCATTACAGGGTCTGAAGTGCTCGCTTGATGTGAGTCCTGGCTGAGACTGTGTAACAGCAATGCTTCAAAGGACAATTACTTCATCATTCCCATTTTAATCTTTGGCCATTTTAACCATTTTGTTTATTCCAGGCAGCTATCTGTTTCATTTATGCTGCATGCTTTCAGGCTAAAATGTATGAGGTCACAACAGGACAAAAACCAAGGCAATGAGCAGGGGATGATGTGCATGGAAAAGGATGATTTCAGTTTATACCTTCTTCAGCTGGGTGTTGCTTTTGTACCTTTTCAGGGTGGGAACAAGTGATGCAGAATTGAAGACAGGTGGTTACATTTAGCACAAGTAATTTACTAACCTCCTGAATTTTCCTCTTTTTGCCCCTGGCACCTCAAGCATATTCCACCAGGGATTCCTATATGTTGTCAATCATCTAATGAATTTATTTGAATAAGCATCTTATGTCAACCTGAGATCCAAAAGGAAAGGATCTCAGCTCAGGAGAATAAAGTGCAAAAAGTATGTAGAGGAGCTTTCAACAGTAGTAAAAATCAGCTCTCTTGAACAAAATTGTAAGGCTCCAATAATAGACCTTGATGACAAGCGGAATTAAATAAAACATGAGTGATGAAACCCTGTAATGTTTATGGTGAGGTAGTCCAGACAGATGATTATTAACTGTTACCAAAACAGTGTCTTGGCAGTAGATGTGCAGTAACCAGGATGGAGACTGGTAGCTAGTTTAAATTACTAGTAAAGATCTGCTATAAGTTTCAAAGAATCCTTCTAACACAATGGAATAATAGCATGAAATCAGTAATCGCGTGTGTGGGTGAATAGCTCCTGACATCATATTCAGAGGAGGGAAAGGGGTCATTTCCCATTTCATTCTGACTTGCTATCATATCTATTTCACAGCAAATACCTAAGGAGTAGGGTTGGGTCTCATGTTGTTTTTAGCTAAGCAGCCATGAACATACCATGTCACACCCTGCTTGGAAAAGAAAAAAAAAAAGGGAAAAAATTATGGTTTTTTGCTCCCTGACACACCTGGAAATAAAACATCAGTGATCCCTAGACGTAACTCACTGAGTGATTCCAGTCTGACTGAGACGCCCAAATCCAGCCTCTCCTTTGGCCAGGAGCAGTGACGCCTGTCAGGCTCAGGGCTAAGTGCTGAAGAAGCCTTTTGGGACAGGGAACACCTACATCTTAGCTAGGCAGGGCAATCCATAAAAGCCCCCATCTACGCAAACGAACTGTTTCTGACCCATCGCAGATCCTGAGCACCGTCACTGCCTGCTGCAGGGAACTGCTGTTTATGTCCCTTATTGACAGGCTGTTCTTGTAAAGGCTGAGGAGCCCTCAGGGAGATGGGGAGAAACTTCCAGGACTTGTCACCCTGCTACAAAACAGTGCTTGTCTCACATGTGTGCTGCACTGTGCCTTAAGTACCCCATTGCCTCAGCCTTTGTAATGTTCGGAGCCTGTGGTCTGCAGCTCCAATACCTTCTCCTGGAGCAGATGAGGCAGTATTTTCCAGACACTCTTTGGCCGAACTTTTCCTTAATTGTTTTTCTGCTGTTGTTTTTCTGCTGTTATTTTCAGGGGTCTGCACCTGCAAATCCTGGCAGTGTTGTCAGGACAGGGCCTCATGGGAAGTAGCTCCCACTGCTGTGGGATTTGACCTCCTCTGCCCCTCCTTCTTTGTCTCTTGGTTTGTATATTTTAGTTTATATTACAAAAAACCAAATATAGTCCACAGCAATGTTAACAATAATATCAATAACAGTAATAATAAATAATAATATGCAATAATAACAAATATTCAGTAAATGCTCTCCAATAGTATCTGTACACACCAAAACATATCAATCAGTCTATGTGAAATACTTCCACTTAATTAGCATGCTTCAGTCGGCTCAGACAGTGCTCTTCTTTACAAAACAGGAATGCAAGTCCATGCAGACAAGTGGTGACTTTATCCTAAACTCCTAATCTCATTCTGAGACTTCCTAGCAGCTAGACCAACTGACATGTATAGTACCAAATTAACTGAAATTTGTTTGCTTGAAAACATGGACATCAGTCACTAAGGTTTTTTAATACATCACCCTGACATCAGTCCTGAAGTAAAACACATATAGCAATGGTTGTAAACCTAGATAACCCTTATTAGATCCAGTGAATATTTCACACTTCAACTCAAAATCCAAGCATGTTATGCAAGATAGTACAGTTGTCTTCAGCAAAGAACAGCAAGCTCTGTCTGTTTTCAATACACAGATGCATGGCCCCATCATGTTAGTTCCATACTTGGATAGGAGGCTTCTCCAAAAGCATCCGAAAACATCCTCATGTTGTCCTAGACCCCATTTCTAATTCTAGTTCTTGCTGCAAACCCACTTCTGGGCATTTCTCTTGGACTACGAAGGTTTATTGATCAGGTTTTAGTCTTGCAGCCGTAAAGAACCATCTAGCTTAGAGCAATTTTGAGTCTGGGAGTCACTGATCACTCCACAGACACAACACAGCTGGAGATAAGACAAGGCTTCAAGACATGTGTAGGTTTGGGGTTAGAGTCAAACTTTCACTAGCCATTGAGCCAGGAATTGGAGTTGTTGCTGAATCAAAGTGGTACTTATGAGATCGGTTTGGAGATATTAATATCAGGCTCCAACTTCTGTATTCAGATGTAGTCTGACATTCCTCACCGGTCTATTCTAGGGTATGGATTTAGAGCTGGGTTTCATTTGTACAGGAGATCAGGGTTTGACTGGCATTGGACATTAGTCCTCAGTTACTGTTCTATCCAGAAATAACTACTGAGCTATTTTAATAACTCTAACAAAAAGTGCCAGGGAGCCCATGGTTATTTT